ATTTGATTGATTAAAATATATTTATATGTACATGTATGTAATCCAATGTTTCTCACCTCTATCTCCTGTGTAAAGACTATACAAAATTAAAGTCAATTTATTAAAGCTGTTAATGCCATACATTAGAGTCTAATGATTAGACTATTCTCTCCACACAATCGCTAACGTAATTAGAAAATAATAATTTAATATATTTCAACACAATAATGACTTGAATTCATAAATTACTTCTCAAATTATATAATCAATACAAAGGCTGTGTTAAAGAAAAGCACTGATCTATTAATGAAATATCAATTACTATTTATTATTACAAATATTATTATTAATATATAATTTTATATTATGTTTATTAATTTTATATTATATTATATTATGTTTTGTAAATAAGACTATCATTTATATATTCATATTATAAATAACTTATATTATATTCACACAACCAATTACTTCCTTTCCAACAGTCTATTACTAAACAAATAAACATTAACTGAAAAAACTATTTGCAGAGAAAATATTCATTTTCATTCTTGTAATGAATATTCTCTATCGCTCTCTAAATACTATTCATTTCATTAAATATTACATATTTTTAACGTGTTTTCGCATAAATTCTTTACGACTAACTCCTCCCGGATTCTAGCATTATATTTTTAAAGCACAGCTCTATTATAATAATTATTATAATTTTTACAATAATTAACTCAAATTAAAAGTATCGATTGTGGCCCTCGTTTTGGTATCAAATAAATTATATCAACAAGTTTTATCAAAAAGATGGCCAAAATATGTGGGAAGTGATAATCCCATACATCAAACGGTAGAATACAATTTGACAAATAAAAAATGTGTAATAATTTAGCATTTTATGAAATGGTTGAGCAAATTACCGGTATTGATTTAATTGGTTATTAAAAATGATAAAACTCAATTTGCTTTATATACAAACAATTTATTAAATTCTACCAAAAGTTGTCAAAGAAAATATAAATTACAAAACAATATTCAGGTTTTTATATAAATATTTTCAATTTTAATATCAATAGCAAATAGTAATTACATAAACTTTTAGGACCAGAAAAATGTGAAGTAAAATGAGTAAAATTGATGGGAAAATAATAATAATAAACTAATCTTTGGGTTAATACAGATTTTGGTCATTACAAAAACACTTAAATCTTGGTGTTTAACGAGTTGTAGTCATATTGTAGTTGTGATCGGAAAAAA